ACTATCAACAAGTCATCCTCTTCGATACTTTAGAAAGTGAAATCGAACACATTGGAAAAGTCTCTTGTTACTTGTACTAATCATCTCTGTGTTCAATTCCGTCTCGTACTCGGAATTAGTAATAAGCCGACCACTATTTTCTCTTAATATGATACCGAGCTTAATGGAAGCAGCGTTTTGTGAGATCGTGGAGTCATGCTGCACGGAAGTAAACGTGTATATAGAACAAAGGTGGATTGATAGCACGCATTAAAACTGATGGATTGATGCATCTAACTTAACGTGATGGATTGATGCCTCGAATTTAAACTGATGGATTGATGCATCTAAATTAAACTGATGGATTGATGTCTCGAATTTAAACTGATGGATTGATACCACGCATTAAAACTGATGGATTGATACCACGAATTTAAATTGATGGATTGATGCCTCGAATTTAACTTGATGGATTGATGCCTCGAATTTAAACTGATGGATTGATGCATCTAACTTGACGTGATGGATTGATGCCTCGAATTTAAACTGATGGATTGATGCCTCGAACTTAAACTGATGGATTGATGTCTCGAATTTAAACTGATGGATTGATACCACGCATTAAAACTGATGGATTGATACCACGAATTTAACTTGATGGATTGATGCCTCGAATTTAACTTGATGGATTGATGCCTCGAAGTTAATTTGATGGATTGATGCCTCGAATTTAAACTGATGAATTGATGCCTCGAACTTAACTTGATGGATTGATGCCTCGAATTTAATTTGATTGATTGATGCCTCGAATTTAAACTGATGAATTGATGCCTCGAACTTAACTTGATGGATTGATGCCTCGAATTTAATTTGATTGATTGATGCCTCAAACTTAACTTGATGATTTGATGCCTCGAATTTAAACTGATGAATTGATGCCTCGAATTTAAACTGATGGATTGATGCCTCAAACTTAACTTGATGGAATGATGCCTCGAATTTAAACTGATGGATTGATGCCTCAAACTCAACTTGATGGATTTATGCCTCGAATTTAACTTGATGGATTGATGCCTCGAATTAAATTAGATGGATTGATGCCTTGAACTTAAACTGATAAATTGATGCCTCGAATTTAATCTATGGATTAATGCCAGACACTTAATCTGAAGAATGTATACCCCGCTCATATATTGAACGCTGCTGTTTATGTCAAAATTGAAATAGCACTGACACTTTAACCAAATTCAAGAGTAGTTCTATTGAGTTTTTAAAAGATAATGAATATATCATGTTGACTTTATTTTTTGACATTACGTCAATACTTTATCTTATTATACTTGTGTTTAACGTCCACTTTTTATCCCATTATACCTGTGTATAACGTCCATACGTTATCCCATTATATCTGTGTATAACGTCCACTTTTTATCCCATTATACCTGTGTATAACGTCCATACTTTATCCCATTATACCTGTGTATAACGTCCATACTTTATCCCATTATACCTGTGTATAATGTCCATACTTTATCCCATTATACCTGTGTATAACGTCTATATTTTATCCCATTAAACCTGTGTATAACGTCCATACTTTATCCCATTATATCTGTGTATAACGTCCATACTTTATCCCATTATATCTGTATATAACGTCCATACTTTATCCTATTAACCTGTGTATAACGTCAATACTTTCTCCCATTATACCTGTGTATAACGTCAATGCTTTATCTCATTATACCTGTGTATAACGTCAATACATTATCGCATTAAACCTGTGTATAACGTCCATACTTTATCCCATTATATCTGTGTATAACGTCCATACTTTATCCCATTATATCTGTGTATAACGTCCATACTTTATCCCATTATATCTGTATATAACGTCCATACTTTATCCTATTAACCTGTGTAAAACGTCAATACTTTATCCCATTATATCTGTGTATAACGTCAATACATTATCGCATTAAACCTGTGTATAACGTCCATACTTTATCCCATTATATCTGTGTATAACGTCCATACTTTATCCCATTATACCTGTATATAACGTCCATACTTTATCCCATTATACCTGTGTATAACGTCCATACTTTATCCCATTATACCTGTGTACCACGTCAATACTTAATGATTTATACTTATTTATATAAATATACACATATTTATGCTTTCTGTAACGGATTATAAATGAAACTGGATATTAACGTGGCTCTGGTAGCCAATCCATGGCGACGTAACAAATATCAACGTCATTTTATATGTTAATGGACGACAATATAATTTCAGCCATTGCGTCTGAGATGTTATGGTTGTGGGTTCTCACATAAACAAGATTTATAAATGTTGAGTTTTAATGACGATACATGTGGAAAGAACTGAATTAAAGAAAAATAGAAAGGTATGATGAATATCTGTATTAAGTCAATTTGTCTTATATGAAATAATGTCCAGGAGTTGAATCAAATTCATTAGTTTCTACGTCTTTTGGAGATTGTCAGCTCGACGATAGCCCACCAGTTACGTCACACATCTCATAGCTACTTGCGGCAATAAAGTCAACTTTGTTTGGATCGTCAAATTAAACTCCGCTCGCCAGCGTTGGTGTTTGGCCCACAGATGTTTCTCCCTCCCAAAGGAATCGATATACAGGCTGTTGAAGTCATTATTAATACCGAGTCCTAATTTGCTTCCTTAAATCTCTGTACCTACGAAAATGTACGTAGTGTGTGACGCGCGTGAGCAGTGAACATATATCCGAATGACAGAAAGAGAGAAAAAAAATTGAACAAATATAACAGATCGGTAAGTATGGCCGATCATACAAAATAACCTGGCCCCCTACCTCCAGAGAAATAACTTACTGGGAACAAGAAAAATATGGAGCATATATAAAACAGGTCGATGATTACGGCAAATTTTCCAAAACATCCGGGAACCTACATCCAAAGGAAAAAACATTCCGAGAGGAGAATCGACAAATAGAACAGCACGATGGTTAAGGCCAATTATATCATTTATGCAAAATCACCTGGGGCCAGAGGTCAATAGGTCAAGAGGTCAAGAGAAAACACTCCCTCAACTCATTTTTTTTCAAGATTTATGAAGAAATATTACGAAAATTAAAGAACAACATGGTATATATTTTTTAAATCTGATGTTATGTATCATTTGAAAACCAATAAGATAATTCATAATTTTCCATTACTAATTGAGTATCTACTTACTTTTAATGAGTCGACAAACTATATTAATTTAACTGCTTACAAATGAACTTTCGCTAAAGCTATATTTCACATCAATTAATTTTCCATGTCTAAGAGCAATGTTTTATACATTTTTTGGTTTGACAGTATGTGTGTTGTCGATTTCGTGTACGTTATTAGGCAACATAGATTTTCTGATTTATTTATCATACACATTTGGTGTTTATGCTTATTGAAATGTAATCACTTTCATTTTCATATTTACAAACCAGATACTGGAATTGCCATCTTTGTACTGACGACTTGAAGTGTGATATCAGTAGGTTAGAATCGATGTGTTTTAAATGTTATGCATTTGTTCCACATTCTGACTGGTGTGTGGCAAGGATCACTATAGAAAAGAATAGATATGGAGATTAAGTTTTTTTATGATTGAGAGCCAGCATGCAGGTATTGGAAAATGTTTAACTTCGAGATGATGATGATGATGATGATGATGATGATGATGATGATGATGATGATGATGATGATGATGATGATGATGATGACGACGATTTAAAATACGTACCTTTAAGTGTATTTGTCGCTATACAATGACAAGTAAAGTTCTCGTCATTTTACACCTTTTAATGTGACGCTTCAAAGAATTGAACAAAATTTACAAAAGAGAAACTCTTATTGGGTGGACGGGTACGCACTTGCCTGTCATCTAGCAGTCCGGGGTTCGATTCACGGAACGGACATGAAAACGTGAGGGGTCACCTACTCAACTACGTGAGTTTCCCCCGGTATTCTGGTTTCCTCTCACAATAAGACCCCTCGCGCGCTTACATCCGGGCCAACACGAGTAATTAGTATAAGTCAAAATAACTTGTTCCGCAATTGTTGTAAAATAAATAAAGTCGATATATTTGAATCAACATTTTAAAAATATCAAATTAGGCATTCATGTGATTTTCTATAGTGCCGTTCAATAACAAATTTTCAACACTGATATCACAGAAATACAAGCTTATCGAAACATAGCGTATGTGCCGCGAAGTAAAACACAGTATGATAAGAACTAGTCCGAATTAATTATCAGTAAACATGTGATACATTACCGAAGTAATTTGTCAAAGTCACGCGCTGGATATTGGTTATGTAACCCCTTTTTTCTTCATCTAATTTAAATACAACAGAATGCAATGCTTGTTAGGTATGGTAAACGATGAAAAAACCTGTACATAGAGTATTAAACGATTTATCAGTCCGCTTATCTTAAGTGTCTACCATCTGGAGATAAGAGAAATGAGTTGTATATAGCCAGAGTCCCGCCTCTTCTGTCAATCAAGCACGACCGGATGATTTTGCCCCTCCTTTTGTTACTGGACCAACCAAGTTGACCTCAGTATTAACTGCGAAATCGATATGGTTGTTCGGTTCACAGATTACTACACCTCTTTCGAATAAGTCTGATTCCGCGTGGAGGAAATATTTCCACCAGTAAAAATGGTTTATGCCGCATTTCAATGTCTGAGGCATAACTAAAACATCTGCAAACTTGAAAGTAAAACAAATGCACCAGAAAGCGATAAAGAGCCAGAGCCACCGCCATCATCGTCATCATCATCATCATCATCATTGCTTCAGTCATCATACTCATAGTAATCATCATCATCATCATCATCATCATCATGAATGTTTAGTTATTTATTATACAAATATATTTAGATTGAGTGCACGCTTTTGATGAAGATTGCTTGATTTCCTCCCTGACTATTGGGTGTCGGTAATGAATTCTTTGCTGGATAATTAAATTCTATGGCTCACCAGACTATCTACGGCGTGAATTCTCCGAGCGTTCATCATTATAGCTCGGGATTTCCGTATAGTTTTACCCAGCCCTTCCAAAACCAGGCTAGTTTGGCCGCTAAAGTGTACAGGACACCTTCCAGTGCTTTACCTGGCTCCTCCGGGGGCTACACTTATCCTCACCCTGGAACGGACTATCGGTACCCCCGGAATGGACCTACAGGTGGATATTTCGGGTTCGGTGGAGGAGGGTATCCGTCAAATCACTCGGATTACTTCACCAGATCATTGTCATCTAGAGACACGTCATCAGATTATAAGTTTTCCTCAGTTTCCAATAAAGATATTATATCAAATTCCGGACTCGAAAAACTGCCTTCCCTTGACAGGAACATAACATCATCGTCGTATTCTCAGCTGACGTCATTACGTGCTGATTCACCGCCGTCAACGTCATCATCTCCAGTTTCGTGCACGAAAGCCGAAGGTAAGACATCAATGTTTTTTCAGGCATTGTACAATACAATTATCATTAATTATACCGAAATCAGGTTCGATATAAAATTTTTCTTCATTACCTTTGATTAAATCATATTTTATTCAATATTTACTCTCCCTCGTGTTCCAAGAAATTAATGCGTGACTAAATTGATACATATTTCATTTCTCAAATGTTCAAAATATTCCTAACACGAAAGTGTATCACATGTAACAAATATTGTATTGATTTAACACTTTAGATATAGATTCTAGGATAATGCTACATAATTAAGTTTGAAACTTTGGTATAAAAGGAATAACCATACCAATAACAATGTTACCGACGGGATGATCATTAGGTTTAGTGACACCTGACATATAAAGTGTGGATTTAAACATCCATCTAAAGTTGTTTCTGTCATATATTACCGAGCACACAGAACATTTATAACAGTTTAAGTGTTTCTTACCGTTAAATTGTTGGTGGTAATATTTCTAAATAACCGGAAAAAAATCAAACAAGATTTCCGACAACAGTAAAATTGTGTAAGGACATTTACAGAGCGCAATAACTTTGTCTGTCTGGTGTAAACAAAAAGTATACAAAATGTTTATATGTCATTGTAATAGTTGTTAGATAAAACACAGATGTATTTTGAAAATATAGGCACATTTAATAATTTTAATAAAAAGTGTTTTGGATTTGCTTGTCAAGAAAAAAATCCTGGAGTAGGAGTAGGACTAGTTGAGAGGTTGTAAGACGAAATGTATGGGTGATGTAGTATAATTCGCTGTTCTGTTTCATCAGTGTCTTTAGGGGTGTTCATATTAAAAGCTTGTTATACGTTTTGTTTGTTTTTAGCACAATCCTTGTACAACACAAATATTTGGTTATGATGAGAAATATCTTTCACAGGAAAATGTTTGTGGCTACAGTTTTGATATTTCAAAGTGGGAGTGTTTAGGGTATAGATATCTACTGGGTTTTTTCACGGAAGAGAGCATATGTGATGTATTGAGTAAAATTTTATAATATATTTCACATGAATACGTTCGATTGCAAAACTAGATAGTACATACCGTATATATTTCATAAGAACTTACAATGTACAATTTTTTGGTATAACCATAAAAATGGATCTAGACACAAATTTGTCTCCATGACAGAAATTACAAATGGATAGCAGAGAAAAATTGATTCAACGAAATTGAAAATGAAACGAACAGCAATCACAAAAGTTTTTGAAACATAAGAATTGAAATTAGAAATAAAAGAGGAGATATAGGAAGAAAATAAAGTATTTTCCGATTTACTGCATTGAGTAAACCTATGTGTCTATCCCTACCAAGTAACTATTACATAACGAAATTTTTCTGTAAATTTCTAAGATTTGCCAAAAAATGGCACAAGATGGGAACAGACATATAAAAACACGACTCTACAATGTTTATCTGCTATTAAGTGTAGACGCAAGGCATATTCCAGAAATATTGACATGAGTTGGATCTAGAACTCATATGAAACGTTAATACAAATATTTTACACACATATTTTTTTCGAGTTTGGGCAGATGTTAGATTGTTGTCACTAAACAATAACGTTTGTGTTAAAATATGATTTTGGATTGAATTAGAAAAATAAAAAACTCAAACCCAGTTGACTTTATGGTCTAAACCTTATGTTTATTTAATATTATAAAGGTTTAGTTTAGTATCTTTATATCCGAAATAGAACAGGTTATGATGTATGTAAATCAACAGGTTTTTAAACGAGGGTTCTTCTTCCGGAATTACCTTCACATTAATTTTTTCTTAAAAAAAAGGCAAATTGGCATGAAAAAATACGATACATTATTTCTATTTCTCATAATGTAATATTAAGTATTTGTTTCCATGTGGTGTTATCACGTCAATATTTTGTTTGGGATGTTAGAATAATGCCATGTCTGTATTTTACATAGGGAATACTTAGATACAGTATAGTGACGATTTGGTTGGATTTTTCCTGCGATACAAAGGTAAACACTCAGGTTATGGTAACAGCTAAAGTGGTCCTCGGGATTTATCTACGTACAGCATTTTTATGAGCAAAGAATTTATTTTTATACCCCTGGTTGACTTCGATAGCCATAACAAATTATCACAATTTCTAGGAAAGGATGTGATCAGTGATTAGGGCGCCAGTTTCTACATTCATGTACTTATTACAATGTTGTGTTCTCTTATTAAAAAATATGTACTCATAAAAAAATGTGGAATGATAATGATTGTCATTTTTTTGTCTGTTCCGTATAGTAAAGCCTTACAAACTTACGTGCAAATGCAATTCACTTGCTTTGTTTTCTGTCATTCAGCAGCTTAATCAGCACAAATGGATTAGCAAGAGAAGGAAACGAATAATGAAAAATGTAATTCCAGTCTCCATTGTATCATACCTTGTTAAAGGAATATCCGGGTATTTACACTAATATTATGCTATGATGGTCATAACATATCTGAAATATTAGTCACAAATACAAGATCTACCGCGTGTTGTGTTAATGTAGTTTAAGTTGGTTGTTATACATTTGTATATAAATTATTCTGTAATAGTGTTAGGTTAGGATAAATACCTACATATCCGCTGTATACTTTTATACTGAAAATCAACAGTTTTATTTGATTTTTAACGTCGGGAATGTTCGGATCTTCTCTCCAGCATATCACAGGACTGAAAGACTTCCAAGTACAAAACACATCAAAATACATTTCAAGCATAAGAGAGAGAGAGAATAATTGAATTACAGCTGTTTTGTACTCCCCAGATTTACTAATGGTGTTACATAGAATAAAACCAAGTACAATAAAATTGTATGACGTTACGTCGAATTCAAACTACTATCGAAGTATTCGTATTGTCTACAACAAGTACGTGTCATAGCATTGTTACCGCCAAAATACTTCTTAACCAATTGTTAAAGCACTCTATTTTAAACCCATCAAGGAAAATGAGATGAAATCTGGTTGTTAAGTAATATCTGTGTAAGGACACTAAGATGTGTAGATGTGTACAACACAGTTCTGTTGATAAAACATCACAACAACAACATGTCGACATAATCATAATCCAAACTTTAATTGAAAAAAAAACTAGGACAAAATATGAACGAAAGAAAGACTTACACAGAGACCATGAAAAGTAGAAGGAGAATAAAACTAGGTGTTCGGAAGGAGTAAGCGTCTTTTTCTTCATAGACGACACCCGCCATGTAAATCTTGGTCCATCCAAGTAAGTAATGCCACGTTCTCAGATAAGAACAAGGTATACAACAACGGAACCAACGAGCCTCAAACACGTCCAATGTCATATCGCATTTAGAAATAAAATATTTCACTATGACGACCGTAAACCTTCCCGTTAATTTTCGTAAACCGATATCTTTTGAAATTCTGTGTTACAAGTTTGTCCTTCAGTTGAAGACTGCTTGCACAGAAATCGCGATTATGTGAACAGGTCATTGAATATAGAATCAACTGCGACATGTACACATATTTGTAAAACAGGAAACAAAAGATGAATTTTTTATATTTCTTTTCATCATCGCCTGCTAGGTTTCAAAATTATGACTACAATGACGAAATAGCTGTATGATAGAGTTGAATTTATTTTGGGTCTTGCTTATTCTAAAAATGTAGTGAAAGGTACTTTTCACGTATATGTCTTAACCTTAACTTTTGGACTTAACCTTTCGGAACACCCTGTTTTGTTCCCATTCTACTTTACATAGGCTCGCTTTTCCCCCTCGATCCTGAATTGTAATTTCCGTTTTATATATATATCGTTAATTTTCTTTTCCTTTTGGGGTTTTAACGGAACTGCACAATATACAACAAAGACATGTAATTAGGGAGTTGTATTGCAATTTCCACTTTAATTTCACATGCGTGTGTCATTCTTGTTGTCAAATCCTAATTTGATTTCCTATTCAAAGTCTAGCAGCAAAACCAATTTGTACCATTGTAGAGTGTGATTTTTTAGACACTGGTAAACTTCACAGAACACCCAAATCAAACGTACGTACTTGCTTTCTGACCCGTAGGTCAAGATAGTAGAAATGCAGATTTAACCCACACATTCACTTCAGATTATACTTTAATGAATGGTTACCTCTAATTAGCCCCATATATACATATAACGCACCCTTAACAACTTTGCGTAAACAAATTCAATGAAGCGGTTTTGACTCGTTGTCGGATCTGACGGACCGGTGATTGGTTTAAGAGCTTAGAAATTACTTAATTTACTCTATCCGTCGTTATCACTCCATCGACTACCTGCGCTGCATTTCTACAATTAACCTTTCGCCACATTTCAAGAGATTCGTGCTATCTGTTTAATTGTCGAATTTTAAGCTATTTGGTACTGTATCAGGGGCCTTAATAGGGTTAAATGGAAAAAATATATTCAAGTTAAAACAGTTAAAAATAAAAATTAATATAAAAACGGATAATTTGGAAGAAATGGTTTTAAAAGGAACAAGTATTAGACAATATGTGTGTCATTTTTTTCTGTAAAAAGTTAATTAATTAAACATAAAATGTTTCCATACCATCAATTCCACTGACACTGTATCAGAGGAACACCTCTCGAACTGTCCCGTAAAGTGCCTCACCAGACATGCTATTGTAAAAGACAAAACCGCAGACGGACCAGCGCCGGAATGAATTAGCGCCGTGGGTTGATTGCCCTGTGCAATGGGTCAGTGAACATTTGGCTAGTTAGACGATTAATGATTATTAAATTATTAGATCCACGGTTTTAGGTATATCTGTAGGGTAAACCTACCGGAAAGTTTCATTTCCTCGCCATTTCAAAGTCCATTCCAATGATCACACATCTTGAGTAGCAAACATAACTTAATTATTGTTCTTTTTCTTGTAAAATGAAGGATTTGATTGTAAGTGGATTGTGTTATCAATATAACGTTTCTATAATGTCACTTCATGCAATACAGACTGATAATAAATTTCAATATAAAATATATAAATAGACATGCGTTTAGTGGTAAGTTGCTAGGTTGAACGTGCAATTGAATTTCTAACAAAGCCTAGACATACATTGTTGTAAAGCAAAGTTCATGTTAGATCACAACTCCTCGATAAACATTTGTCAACCTCCATTAGTCATCACGAGTACTGTGATCGGAGACAAACCTTTTGCTATATGTTCCAAACTCCCATATTGTCATGGTAACAGCTATTTTTGATATAGCTTACCAATCACTACCTGAGAGTCGTAAAAACTCTACCCAAATTCAATAAGGATGTCTTGGGCTCAAGCAGACATCATGTACTTATGTCACTTACAAATGTACTCTAAATCTGGTGTGTTCAATACGCAGTTTAAATGCATGCTTTCGGCATGTAACAAATGTAACACACTAGTGAGTAATTTTGCAAATTAAATAGTAAGATGAATTAATAATACTATTGTATTTTTAACTCAATAACATTCTTTTAATGTGTAGTTCAAGGCCATCAGCCCAAAGTACATGTTTTACAGTTGTATACCACATTGTTCACATCAAAGCCAGTAATTATATGTATTTTATAATCATCAAATCATTCTAATAGTTATATAACGTCTAAATTACAAGAGCTGTGATATCATGGAAATCTTATTCTCAAATTTTGTCTGAAAAAGTACTTAGAAAAAGTTTGCAACAAATCTAAATTTATCCTCGTTTCTGGTTAAGAACAAATATTTTTCATTCACATCAATATCCAGAGCACAGATTTGTCTTGTATGAGTATATCAAGAACAGCGTGATAAAAGGTGGTGTTCGTCCTCGGTGAGATTTGTGTTATTTGTAGATAGACAGTAACCTTTCTTATTGCTATATTCTCTTCCGTTAGATCGGTACGGCAACATTAGATATAGGTTTAGTTAAGGATGTATATGTTGTAAATGTGATAATCTGTTCTGTCATTAAAGTATTGACAAATTGACAACCATTAATTAAGTCCTAGCTTTATCAGAATTTTGACGACTGAAAAGTTTTTCATCTTTATGTCTTTGCACAGCCTTAGACTGTCTGTATCTTTTTGTTATCCAGAAATGTAGATTTCTGCGGCGAATGTTAGTTTTGATTTTAAGTGCTCAGAGGTCATTAGTTTTGTAGTTTGGATGTTATTTACCCCGCTGTGGTTCTGAAAACTTTGCTGGTATTGACCTGTATCTACATAGTGGCTGTCGTCGTTAAAGCTTAAGACGCTTACTCTTTTAGAACATCTGGTCTACCTCTCCTTGTGGTTCTTCACAGGTCTTCGTATGAATCTGGCATTTGTCTTGAAGATGCATACCTTTCCTTTACCTTTGGTCATATTTTCGTTTTACATTGTAAAGTGATTTCGTGTGAACGTTTTGTTTTTTTTTTTTTCAACTTAGCCGTTTTTAGCGAATGGAGATGCATTAGCATTACTCTAATCTGAAAAGGAATGAAAGAAAGCAAATCTTAATATACGAGATCACATGACAAAGATTATTAATGGTGTAATTTTATTTTATTACAGAAGGAGATAGTCCAGCGTTCAAATTAGATCTTTCGTCCAAACCCAGGAAAGAAAGGACGGCTTTCTCTAAAAACCAAATACGAGAACTAGAGAAGGAATTCGGGATCCATAATTACCTGACCAGACTAAGACGGTACGAAATAGCCGTAGCATTGGACCTCACAGAACGCCAGGTACATCTCTTACCTATAAAATGTTTTTATACTCTAAACACAACAGTGTGATTCTTTCTTGTTGAAGATAAATAGAATTCTGTTCAAAAAGGCACTTTTTGATAAATTATCATCTTGTCATGGTCAAATTATATAGGATTATTGGTATCGGTGCTGCATTTGTACAATGTATATATTTATCTATATTTAGTTTTCGTGTGAAAGTCGGTGATATAGCGATAAACAACAAAGAGAAATTACATTGTGTCCACAGATCAAAATCTTATATTTAGATTCAACAAAACTAGAGCGAAATATGTACAAAAATTTACACATCATGTTTTCTTTCTTTTCTATAAAATTGTTCTTTCTACTTTTTTTCTTTTGTTTTAATTAACTGAAGAGATTTTGTAATTTTTGTTGTCAGGTAAAAGTTTGGTTTCAAAATCGAAGGATGAAATGGAAACGAGTGAAAGGCGCACAACTTGGAAAGGACAAAATTACAGGACAAATAAAGCCATTGATAAGTCCGCACGTTTCTGAAAATAACGCCATGACAGAGCACTTTGGTGACAATTATCAACAGACACTCTCCGATCTGGAAGACAAATTCGCCGATTATAACTACAAATTTGAGAAGACATGCGAATCGAAGCATTCAAAGTGTTGATTTTATTGTTTCCTGGTGTATATGATTGTTTGTACCGTCAAAAACAGGACCTATGTGTTGTTTGTACCGTCAAAAACAGGACCTATGTGTTGTTTGTACCGTCAAAAACAGGACCTATGTGTTGTTTGTACCGTCAAAAACAGGACGTATGTGTTGTTTGTACCGTCAAAAACAGGACGCCTGTGGATACAACGTATTTTCATAATGTGAATACGAGGCTCCATGCAAAGACTGAAGGACAGGTTGAGATACACTGTCTGTAGCACCGATTAGAAACCGGAGTTTCAACATGATTCGGTATCAATTATCGATCACTATATATCAATTACGTATGTTTCAATTTATATTAAAAGTAGATACAGGTGAATCTTTTGGCTTATTTCTGCCTTGTATGTCTAATGTGCAAGGGTCATTATCAAAACACTAACATCCTTGTTACAAAATAAGGTAAAACAAAGTACTAACATCACTATCGGACTAAATAACGTTCCTTTTACACCAAAATCACAAAACGCATTCACAAGATAAATAGTATGACATGGAAATTAATGATATGCTACATAAATACTAATGATTTCATACGTATAACTACAATAGCATTTCAGTAAAGGCATTGGTTAAGATAAAAAAAAATTTTTAAAAAAAACCGGAGTTTATCATTATGTAAAGATCAAGTCTAAAAAAGGTAAATTCAAGTCATACAAGCTTTGTGTACATGTAATCCCAATGTTAGATCATGTAAAACATTTACAGGATCAGTAAATATTGAGGCAGACGACTGATATAAGATGAAAAATCCTTAACGAAACAAAGTAGAGATTGAGGCAGACGACTGATGTAAAGTGTAAAACATTTTAAGAAACAAAGTAGAGATTGAGGCCGACGACTGATATAAGTTAAAAAAAACAACATTTAATGAAACAAAGTAGAGATTGAGGCAGACGACTGATGTAAGATGTAAAACATTTAAAGAAACAAAGTAGAGATTGAGGCAGACGGATGATATCAGATGTAAAACATTTAAAAAAACAAAATAGAGATTGGGGCAGACGACTGAAGTAAAATGTAAAACATTTAAAGAAACAAAATAGAGATTGGGGCAGACGACTGAAGTAAAATGTAAAACATTTAATGAAACAAAGTAGATATTGAGGCAGACGGATGATATCAGATATAAAACATTTAAAGAAACAAAGTAGAGATTGAGGCAGACGGATGATATCAGATGTAAAACATTTAAAGAAACACAGTAGAGATTAAGGCAGACGACTGATATAAGTTAAATAGTATGACATTTAATGAAACAAAGTAGAGATTGAGGCAAACGACATATGTAAAATGTAAAGCATTTAAAGGAACAGAGTAGAGATTGCAGCAGACGAATGATGTAAAATGTAAAACATTTAAAGAAACAAAGTAGAGATTGAGGCAGACGGATGATATCAGATGTAAAACATTTAAAGAAACAAAGTAGAGATTGAGGCAGACGGATGATATCAGATGTAAAACATTTAAAGAAACACAGTAGAGATTGAGGCAGACGACTGATTCAAAGTAAAGACTGTGGCTGACGATTGATGTAAGATGTATAACATTGCAAATTACGGATACGGTATACGTATATGAACAATGTGAATTCTAGATCGTTTTAAACAATATATTAGATTTATACCTGACCGTTAAATACCAACACAATTGGTTTCAAGGTTTTATTCAGTCACTGTGTCACACTTACGTGTGTAACAAGAGGTCACATACATATAATTTACATGATACGTGGCGTATGACAGGTACAATTACAACAATTTCTGTAAATGATAGTAATAATTACTAACTATCACATTCATGTATTAACAATTTGGTACTTAAACCTTAACACTTAAATCAACAATTTACCAAGTTTTTCTATAAATCTACAAATTCTTGTAAACATTTTAACATTGAATATGTTAAAAAAAATCCTTGCATTTTGATATGACTTGGGTAAGTAAAGTTATATTTTGGTATATATTTTTCTCTTAGACGTTTTACTGATTCGTTTTCGCATGTAAATAAATAGTGATATTCGTCTCCGATGTCAGAGTTACATAATGTGCAGAATCTTTCTTGACGAGGATACCTGTCCATCTTCCTGTTTCTACCGGTAAATGCATATTTGAAGAACGAAATTTACACATAATTTTCCTATCAATGGTATTAAGCTTGGTTAAGTATTTTTCTTGTTCAAACTTTGTCTTAAAAATGGAATATGTTTGTCCCCTAGAGGAGTTAAAAATGTCATCAAACCATTTCTGTATAAATTGATCCTTAAGTCTATTTTCACCAAATTCTTAATTTCATCTCTTGAAAAAGAACACGTAGATTGATAATACCAAACGTAATTCAGACCCGTTTGGAAAAGGACATCCTTGACATATGAGAGCCATTTAAATGACACAATTCCATTTTCTTGTAATGTGTACATTAATTTATAAATATCACTTGATAACTTATTAGATGTAATCAACTTATGCCAAAATAATACTATTCTACATTTTATTTCGATATCTAATGGGTATCTACCCAGCTCTCCATAAACAATGAAATTAGCTGTGCCTTTCTTACATTTAGTATACTTTTACAAAAGTGCATATGGATTTTCTCTATAATATTGGTATTTTCAAAACCCCATATTTCTGCTGAATACAGGAGAACTGGCATGATAACTGAATCGAATATTTTCAATTGCAAATCAACTGGTAATGAAATATTTAATAATTTTTTATAGACAGCAAAAAGTGATTTCTGTGCCTGTTCAACAACTTTTTTCCTTGCTTTAAAAAAACTACCATTAAAATTAAAGAAAATACCAAGGTAGGTATACCCATGTATTTCCAATTCTACGTTACATAAAGTAAAATTGTGCGTTTCCTTTTGGTAAAGAAATCGAGGATGCCATAGTCAAAAAAGGGACACTAGAGATATGACAGTCAAAACAGGGACACAGAATATCACGATGTCGACAGTTTTTTTTAAAATATTTGACCGTCAAGTTCAACGACATTCTTCATTATGTATTATCAACCTGCACCAATTAGTTTTTGTTTCCTATGACAATGATGTCAGAAATATCCAGAGGGGAGGGGTTATAGTTACAACGGTATAATGGCATCGTTCAACAAATCAGGTGAAACAGAGACATAATAATCCAAAATCACTGACAAATGTGTTTCTTCATCACAATACAATTCAGTTAAATTTGCTGACCATTATTATAAATATAGATTAATACCAAGTTATCACGGGAAAAAAATACATTGTAAGGCACGAGTTGATATCACGTTAACACTCACAGAAATACAATGTTAAACACAAGTTGATATAAAGTTAACAATCATAGAATACAGTGTTAAGCACAAGTTGATATGAAGTTAACACTTAGAGAAATACAGAGTTAAACACGAGCTGATATCATGATATCAAGTTAACACTCCGAGATATACATTGTTACGCACAAATTGAAATCAAGTTAACTCTCACAGAAATACAATGCTAAACACAAGTTGATGTCAAGTTAACAATCTGAGATATACAATGTTACGCACAAATTGATATCAAGTTAACTCTCACAGAAATACAATGTTAAGCACAAGCTGATATCAAGTTAACACTCTGAGATATACATTGTTACGCACAAATTGATATCAAGTTAACTCTCACAGAAATACAACGTTAAACACAAATTGATATCAAGTTAACTCTCACAGAAATACAGTGTAAAGAACAAGATGATATCAAGTATGCCCACTCTCAGTGTCTACGCCATCATGAAAATAATGCATTTTCTTGCATAATATGGTGGTCGACGTATTTAATTCTATATGTGTCATGTGTAATCGTGTAACCGTCCTTGTTTTCATTCTATGGGCGTGACGTCACGTGCTATTGCAGAGAAGTACAAAGATCTTAGTTGATACAAGGAAATAGGTTATATCTAGTCATCTAATCAACTATTGCAATCTTGGCGATATCACTCTGCTTTACAAGGGGATCTTACTGAATTGTACCAGTTTATTTTTCTTTTGTGTTAATGAAGAATCTGACGATGGAAAGCGTTTGGTTAACAAAGCTATGTAAAAGATACAAGAAACACCACTAAAACATAGATTGGCGTAAATCAAAATATTTTCAAAATATATTTTTAAAATGATATTGCCATGTTGAAAAACGTAATCTTAATTCTAAAACGTTGGGTTAGTCCATATTCATATTTTCTTCTCAAAACATGGCCAAACTCTCTTACCGGTTAAGAAGAAACAAAATAATTCATAGTTACAAGGAGACCCTTGAAAAGAATGGAGGACATTGATCGGGAACTTCTTCTGCGTCATTTACGACACCCATCATATTGATCTGGATCCCACCAAGAATTGCACGTTCTCAAACTGAGACCATGTTTAAAGAAGCTTCGAAAATCGATTTTGTATTGTACAAGATTGTTTTCCGAGTAAGTTATGTTGTCTATCCAGTAACTTCCCCAGAATCTTAATCAGCATGAATATTGAAGTTTTTAGAGTTAGCAGTCGACTCTTGTTACGGAAGTTGCTTTATATGATTAGAAAAAATGCCATATCGACTGATTTGGTATGATAAATAAAAACAATATGTTGAGGTAAGTAGAAAAGCTACTGTTAATAGACTATTAACTAAAGGTCAGTGAAAATCTGTCCTTGTTAGTTACGTCGTTGAAAAGCACTACTTTATGTATATGTATGCATGTATAGATAGAGGAATATTATGATGGGGTAAGGGAAGTAACTCCAATGCAGATATTAAGGTACTGAGCTTGAGACTCTGTAGAACACCAAGTGCGATAACTCTGATACTCTTGAGATATATACTGTTGAGAAGTGCGAAAGGACCTGAATTTGTTAAAACCTTGGAGGCGACTGAGAAAGAAAATCGAAGTTGGTCAAAAATTTGTGTTAAAAAAATAAGAAGAAGAGAAAAAAACTCCAAAA